CAATTACACTTAATCGTGGCCGCCGCGTGGTCTCGCTCGCAATAAAATGGTCGCCGCAGTATATCTGTCGTCCGCGATAGCCGCGCTCGGTGCTTTTCGCGTCGAAACGTCCGCCGCGACAATAGCGACGATAGGAAAGCCGCGGGAGAACTTTCTAGAGGTATCTCTAGCTCTCTCTCTCTCTCTCGCTCTCTCGCTCTCTCGCTCGCTCGCTCGCTCTCTCTCGAGGTCTCATCCCGATTTATCCGATTTCGAGTAAATTATTCGGGAAGGATTGCGCTGCCGCGGAACTCTCGTTTGTGCACGAGGAATATAAGTTGCAGCAGTATGCATGGGAATGAATCAAATGAATTGGCGAATGAATCAGAAATCGGTCTCAAGGTGTACGTTCTACATTGCTGAACAGCGATATCTAACGATGATTGGTCTGTCGAGAGAAGGATTTTGAAAACGGATTGCTATTAATTTAACATCGATTTGCTATTAATTCGCGCGGCATCGTGCATACCGTCATTTTGATTTCGAATCTAAATTAAAATGAAATTGAAGTAATTAAAGTGTTCATGCACTGACGTGTACAATTAGGGCTGGTTGTACATTTTCATTCTTTGACACGTTTGACAAGTAATTTTATACTGAAGAGGCTCGTACACTATGTGTGAGTGAAAAAAATCCAAGAGATAAAAAATATTTATTCGCGATGAGTACTAGTAACATATTTGCTACTAATACATAAAATATTTTTTAAGAGAATATATATTTTTTTTAAAACCTCAGCTTTTTTCACATGAAAGCGATTGTTTATTCTATTTAAGTAAAAGAATTTAGATCTCATTAAATATATTATTAATATCCATCGAATAAATATTATTTGGATATTTTTTTTTAGTCGCGAAACATTTGGCACTGTCGGTGACATAATAAGACAAAAGTTAGACCTTAACCACAACTAGGACTCTTATTGTTCACTTTTTCTTTGTTTTGTCTTTTGGTTATTAATACTTCGGCGATCGAATTAAGAAAGATCTAATTGACAATTTCATGCATATTTTCTTGCATTTCTAGATAATATGATTCTATCATCCGGTATTCCTTTTCTTAGCGTATTTGCCCCTGATGCTTATAACTTCAAAAATAAAAAGCAATAGTTGCGAATTATTTTGAACCATTTATATCAAATATTTTCGCCTTGCCAGCGTTAAATTCGCTCATTTTCCTCCGTCACATAATTTCGGCTACGAAGGCTGCACGGTTTGAATCGCAAACGCGTGATTCCCTTTTTTTACCGTAATTCCAATAATTATACCAAACTTTCGGTACACGCTATACACACACACGGAACGATGTGCGTGCGTGCTAGGGTTAACGGGCGATCCATTATCCGGATATAGCGCGATTCGTCATCGCGGGACAAGCGATCGTTTCAGACATTTAATCATAGTCCCGATGACTTCTAATTAGGAGCCGCGGTGATGAACCACAGCTGGGTATCGCACGGTCGGTACTCATTTCGCACGTTATAATATACACACTGGTCGGAAAGACAGCCTACGTGCTATCGACCTTGTGACAAGGTAATCTCCACGCTCGGTGACCCCGCTGCATAATGAGGTGTCGAGAGTTGCATTGCGCTCATACTGCCGCATCCTCCGCGGCCCCCCTGCCCCCTCTTGCCCTCTTGCTCTCGGCGACTAAATAGATGGAGCAGCCGCACCGGCGCATTCAGCAGCATCCGGCGAACGTGTCATTGATCCTTTTTCGTATCGGTTCCTCGCACATTGACTCGATCCGCCCGTCCGCGCGCTTGTATTACCATTCCATTCGAAATCACACAGCGTCATAGCGTAAAATAGAGATTTTAGTGCAAAATATCGCTTATTATGACGTGTACACGATCGCACGACAACGAGGCACGTAGGAAATACAAAGGGACATTTCGGGCGGGCGAGAATACGGTAAGCGCTACGCGCCACGCTCGGTTGCTTATCCCGGGATTATCTTGCGTCGTAATCAGTTTAACATTAACAAATTGTCGTAAGTACGACCGGCGTCGTTCCGCTCTCTCATGCACATTCGCTTCCGTGCGCGGTCGTTGAATTACGAAACTGCGATCTGAATTTCAACGCTATAATCGGCTTTTAATATCCTGTTGTGCATCGAATACTCGTTAATAACCATTATCATACCTCGTTTAATTGTAATATATTCGTTGCTTCGTAATGAACGAATTTTGCTTTTCATTTATTTCTTGTATGCATGTACGTGCAGCAGCCCAAGTGTAAATCTATTCCGATTTTTGAGCGCTGCTTGTCATCGAATACCATTCGTCTTCGTGGGACGCATCCAGATAGACAGACATACATAAGTTTTACTCATCGATGCGTAAAGATCGCATCTATTATGAGCGTCTCTCATCATATGGCTTTCATGTTTATCCCACACAGAACAGTGAAATGGAAACATAAAAGAAATTGTCAGAATTTACTCGAGACAATATGTCATATGAAAGGTAAGATCTCAGGGTAACTTTTAGCAAAATTGCATCGATATGACTAGAAGAATTACATTTTATACACTTAGGGACAGAAATGGTCTAACTTAAATTATAGTTATTTTTAATTCCAGTCATACTTTTTGTAGTAAAAGGGTAGTAATAACATGTATATAAGATTGTTATTGTTAACATTATAGTAGAATTTCACGAAAAAGATCTTCTTAACTATAATTTATAGTAATTATTTCTCTATGTACTAGTAGTTACAAATATACGGAGAGAATATTGTAGTAAAAATTACAATGCAACTTTAGTAGTCCGAAAATAGACTGGCACATTACGAAAATTATAATAAAACATGGTAAAAATGGGACTATAAATAAGTAGTAAAAATTATCATATTTTTCATTTTCATAATTTTTATTATGTTTTTTATAATTTCCGTGCCAGTCTAAAGTTGCATTGTAATTTTTACAATATTCTCTTTGTATATTAAACACTTTTTTCTCAGTGTATAATGTAAATTTTATGAATAATTCAGTATAATATATTTGCTCTGTGAATATAATAAAAGAATCGCAAAGTTTCCATCATCGATTGGCTCGCGTTACAAGACAATCGTGAAAATCTGTTTGGGCACAGAGACAGTCCCCGACAGTTACTCCGCTTGCTTATGATTAAACTTTACCGCGTAACTCAGTTGGTTACGACAATGAGTCGAAGAGATACTGAAGCCCCGCAGCGAATCCAGAAAGCAAGACGAAACCGGGAGTTTCCCCAAGTTCACCGGAAAAAGTTTCGCGGGCGCGACGCTGTGTATTCGCACACGAAATTAACATAAGAGGCCACCTTTGCTACCGAACTTGATCCGTGGCCCGGCGAAACTTCGGAAAGGTCAGAGACTGCCGTGGGTTTCCCTCGGCTGGAGTTTACTCGGGCGGAGCGCATCGTGTCTCGTTATTCACGCCGTCTGATTTCTTTCGCGCCGTGCTCGCGCTCGCGCGTAACCGCGGACTCGTGTTTGCCGTTCCATTAGCGGGGAAAAATGCATGAATATGCAGCAAGAAGAGGTTCTCCCTCCCCCCTCTCCTCCCTCTTGCGGTTCCCGTCGCGCGGATTTGCATATTAGCGCGCTCTCGCGCAGTTAGGTTTAATTACACCTCTTAACGATGGCGACGGATGTCCAGTTTTTCTATTAATCAGATATCAAAGTTTCATTGTACCATCTTGGCGATAGCGCTTTCCCAGCGCCTGCTCTCTTTTCCGTGCAACGAATTTTCTACTTAACACCATTCATTGCCACCATTCATCTGGGAAATCGTTTGCCACAGACCAACAGACTTTTTCGTTTTGTTTCTGAGTAACAGAGACTTAATTTATTTACGCGCGTACACACAGAATAAATTATCGCTGTCACACATAAGGTAGAAGTAGCAATTCCCAGACACGTGATCATTAACCTTGAAACTTTTTATCGTTTTTTGGTCTTTAAACACGAATATTTAAACTTTCAACATAGAATACGTAACATATAATATAATATCATATATTAAAAGAACTCTTGTACGAACTTTATTTTTTCTTTTATATGCGCAAATCTTGATAAATATTGTCTGTTAATATCTACGCGCGTAGGCCATATTTTTTTAGATATTTAAAATATTATGCCAAATAAATATAATGCGAAGCAATATCTTTATGCTTTGTTGTACGATTATTAATCGTACATTGGTGCTTTTACCTTATGCGATGTCGGTCTCTCGAGAAAACTGGTGCATCACACACGCGTGGCGCGTGCAAAGCGAATGTGTGGAGTTGCGCGCGTCTTTTGTCGAGAGAAGGAGAAAGAGAGAGCCAAATCTTCTTTCAATCAACGCACAAGAACGCCGTTTCGATTTTGGTCTTTGCTGATTTATCGTAGTGAAAAATCTGGATTGTGGGGAACGATGATGTCAAATGTATCGCTCGAGTAAACCTCGTGTATGCGTCAAAGTTACTGCCGAATTAATAACGCGCGCGTTGTGGTATGCGCAATCAGCGATGCCGGGAATTATTAATGGGAGGATTTATTGCTACCGCTGTATACGTTCGGCATAAATCACCGATCATCTGCGTTCGTATCGTCATAAAGCGCATTATTGAAATATATACAGCCGATTTGAAGATACCAATTAGCGTGTTACGATGAAAACGCGCATCTCGATCGCGTTGTTACCGCACTACGAGCACTGTTCGTGACGATAAATCGTGTATCGTTGCACGATTGCGGTGCGAACACGAACCGCGCGAGTTCAAGATAAACGTGTCATTTAGTGTCATCTTGAAATAGGGTAAAAGAGAAAATAGAACGAGAGATGAAATACGAGAATGAGAAATACGGCAGTTGCTAAATCAAGCGACTAAGCAAGCGACTGAAAGACGATATACCCGCGCGCGGGAAAACACTCGTTAAACTGGACTGAATTAATTAACCCGTAACAAGGCTGTTCATGGTGGGTCACGTTACCTGACACTCGTACGTCCCGTTGTCTCTCTCTTGGACGTATTTTATTTGAAGAGTCCAATCGTCCGAGCCCTCGGGATGCAGCACTTGAAATCGCTCGTCGTTCGTGTATGTGAACATAGAGCTTGTTAGGACGTGAAAATCACGTCGCCGGATCCACGATATCTGAAACACAGTGATTGATTAGCGGTCGGCGTCGTACAACGTTAATGAATATAGAAGGGCTCGAGTTAGTTCTATGGAGGCAATAATCGTGCCGATGCACGTCGGTCAAATCTACATCTAATTGCACAATGTGAAAATATGAGGTATATTTGCGCCTTTCTCCGTGAATATGAATTAACTCCGCGTCGCGAGGGTGTATAAAAAGCAGTTTGTTGTGGAAAATTAAAATGTCAGATGAACAATTTGTTTAATTTGACAAGTGTGCACAATGAAATTTAATTAAAACAAATATTAAAATAACGCGACGCCACCGGCATACGTATATGTTTTGCGCTCGTATAAATTGGATTAACATAAACGATTGAATTTTATCGGAAAATAACGCGTGCTGAGTATTTTTAATAGCTCTTGATGAGATAAAAAATAATTATTTCCGCAAATAAATAAGTCATGATAAAGTGGTAACGGTATGAAACATCACCGGCAAATAAATGACAGTGATCTACATGCGCGCAGAACATGTATAAAAAAAATATATATATATGTATAACGCTATTTATATAACATAGTTTGCGCATAGAAGTAATTTGAATTGAGCTGTTACAAAAATGCAATTACGCTAACATGTAGTTGAGTTTAATTACAACCTGACTGCCTTTTCTGAGCTGTATTGTTTTTAGCGTGATGTCTAACGAAGATAAAAATTTATCGCTTTTAGCTAAAGAGCGAAGCTCGTTAGCTATTCTGTTCACGCTACGCGCCCATACATTTCCATATAGACGGATTAAGCACGGCGAAGAATTTCGTATGTAATTATGTATAGTACCATATGCGCGAAAATATCAGAACATTTTCTTGATAGAGGCAGACAAACCAGAGAGAATAGAATTCCTATATTTTTACGCAGAATATATAGGGTTCGCTAACGAAAACTTTCCGCCCCGATTATTTGACCTCTATTTTAGATTTTTTGGGGAGTAACTACCCCAATAAAAAAAATGAAGTGATATAGTTAAATATATTATAATCATATAGCTCTCTTGAAAATAATATTGACGTGTATCGGTATTCTTCATAAAAATCAATTGGTTACAGAATAATCGGTCTGGAAAGTTTTCGTTGGCGGATCCTTATATATAAATGTATATATATTTTGTATATGAAAAAAACTTGATAAATTTTGCTAAATATTTTCACAATAGTTAAATATTTTCACCACGCTGGGATTAATCGTTATTTATCTTATGGATTTCGGATGCAACAAATTTATATTTCCATACTGCTCACTACCATAGTTACTATTGTTTATCAACCGAGAGAGAGAGAGAGAGAGAGAGAGGGAGAGAGAGAGGGTGAGAGAGAGAGGGGGAGAGAGAGAGGGAGGGAGGGGAGAGAGAGAGAGACTAGGAAAGGGAAGGGGGAAGGAGGGGGCAGAGAAAGAGCTTACAAGTTCTCTTGTACAGAAATGATTTTAGCGGTACTTAGTAACTCCGTCCTTGCTCAAACGCTACGACCTATCTCACAACCCTGGGGATTGAGTACAATATTGCATAAATAGTAAAATTGTAAGAGCCGGAAATACGATCCCGATCTCCGGGGGAATGCGGCAGACCTGCCTCTGTTCCTCAGACGGAGTTCTTGCTTCCCACTCCCCGATCCTTTGAGATCATTGAAGAAAGAGAATGCATAAAACATAAGGTATACAGCCGGCGTGGATAGCTAATCACGGCGTCTGGATTGTATCGGCGCGTATGCATATAAATGGCATGACGTCGAATTACACGCGATAAAGTAACTCGCTACCTTCGTATATCATATAGATAAGTAAATGTGCGGAGTGACAATTTTTTCGCGATTCACTCGACCTCGCGTTCCGCACATCCTCTCCTCTTCTCTCTTTCGCTCTTTATCGTTTGATTAGTTCGTATCAAACTAGCATCGGAACTTCACGCTTTCTAATTTCTATCGTACAGCAAAAGTGACTTTCAGATTTTAACTCGACAATAGAATTATTTAGAATGGTTGCTGGTGTAACGGGCAAAAAATATTTCGACAGTTTGATCCGCCCAATCGGTTTCGAAACGTTTCGCGTGGAATACACGGAAGAAACAGGATTTTTGAGGCAGTAATATTACTTTTTCCACAATTGTTGCATGTTGATAGAGAAACGAAAAAGAAAGGAAAAAAACACAGCTGACCTAATTGCTAACCTCGCCATGATACGCACTTTTTTCTATTTTAAATAACACGTGGCAAGCGTTCGTGAAGTTAGACTTTACGCGAATAATGTCGACATAAATATCTTAATTACCAGTTTACATAATTGCCAGTGTTTAAATAATTGCAACGTATTGATTTAGACTGTTTGCGGATTGTTTGGGAGAGGTAGGGGGCGGGCGCGCTCTCGGAAATTTCAAGTAGCGAAACTTCGTCGCGGCACGACCGCTGCCGATTCTCGGCAGCTACAATCGAGCGTTCCAATGTTTCCAGGCATTCAGAAGAGATCGACTCTCGTCTGAAAGCACATTAAACCACTCGAGGCACTCCGATCGGCTTCAAACTTTAGATTGATGCGAAATTTCCCGGTAGACTGATTATTTTGGATTTGCTTTTCACCCGCCAGCAGATCCGTATGAAGTCCGTCTGAACTTAAATTTAGCGCGCGCTCGAGAAGATCACCGTCGGAAACGCGAAAGAATCGAATTCGCGGACGAAGCGTCCTAGCGCCCCTAAATCTATCACGCGCGAATAAGCACGCGCAATCTGTCTTCTTTCTCTCTTTCTCCTTCTTTTTCGGTCAGACTTGAATCGCGTAATTTCTATTTTAGTTATATGAGATAAAAGTGCCTGGACACTAATGACACTAGTATCCAACCCTGGACGTATTTATTGTTTTCGATTTTTATAAATACGAGAATATTTATACTTTTAAAGTAGGATATATATATATATATATATATATATATATACATAATATGTATATAATATGTATATACATAGTATAATATGTATATACATAGTATATGTGCGCGAGAAAAAAATTTGTATTAAACAAATATCTGGTGAAATATATGAATGAATCAGAATTTTGCTTAAAGTTACCAAAATACTTGTTCAACTCAACAAAATTTCTGATTAACCAGAATTCTTGTTAAATCGAATAGAATTCAAGCGGAATTCTGATTCGTTCATGTTTAACCAGATAATTTCAACAAGTTTTTATGTAGATATATTCTATATTGAAAGTTTAAATATTTGCATCTATATATAAAGACCAAACAATAAAGATAACCAGAATTAGTACTTGTGTCCAGGTGTTGATACTTGTACTTTAAGAGCCAAGAATTCGAATTCTCAAATGAAGCGTTCACTTCCGTCACGGTGATGGATACTTTCGAGATTGCCGAGAATTTGTCGCTTGCTGACTTTTTTCCTACTCTTTCCCGGTTTGCACGTTAACAAAATTAAGAGCTCGGTACTGGTCATCGGAAGCGGCCTTTGTCTTCGTTTCTTCTTTCCGCCGTTTTTTCGGCAAAGTCGAGAATGGTTTCAATCGATACCGGTCTCGGGAAGAAGCTTGTTCCGAGGAGTCTCGGGGACATGATGGGAGTTCCGAAAGGCATACTCCGAAGTAAAGTTTACGCCGTAGAGAAATTTCGACGGAACAACCGGCGCGGTCGATTTTGTTGCCGTGTAGAGTGCAGCGGTCTGTATGATGTATGTAGGTCAGCGTTTCCCAACCCTTTTACGTGCAGTGGACCATCGGTATATCAATTGAAAGAAGTATGTCGCTATATTGTGGCACGTCGGTGTATACCCACGCGATACTTGAAGGCATATTTGAAAAAGCGAGCGGACGAATAGGTGGGAACACGATGGCTTACATACGAAAGCGCGATACGCACGTGCACACACGTGCATACAGAGATTTCTCAAACTTTCCCTCGCGCTTTCCCACCTAGATTTTTAAATATATATATATACGCCTTAATTCTACACTTGAATCGTTCACGGAGAGAATTTTGTAGTAAAAATTAATGTAGGATTATGTAACCGATAAACATATCGAGATTTTGTTTTAATTTATCATTCTTTCGTTTTATACGTGCTATCTATTTATATTTTACGAGAGTCAGCTGTTGAAAAGTTTACTACATATGTGTTCCTTAGCAAGGTAAATTTTACTCACAATCTATTTCTGCATTTCTAAAAAATACAGTAAAATTGTAAAAAACTTCATATGGAAGAAGCTGTAGTATTCTCTCCGTGTAGTGAGTCATTTTTATTGACTCGTGGGTTTTGCATTAATCGATAATTGTTGACTCGAATCTAACGGCGAATCTAAAAAAAAAAACACAAACGGGCAGTCTCGCATCGCAAGCTTGTTCGCTGAAAGGAACGACTGTTTTGAAAGCAGATTTGAGATAGACGTGATAAATAACGTTAGGTCGCGTTGTGTGAACCTCCGTGACTGACGACTGATCGCAACTACTGCTCAGTTATCTCACTGGAGGTTTAGTTGTATACTCTGAGCTGAGCTTTTCTGTTTTGCGCTATTCGAACGGCATAAACGTTATAGTTGCGGTATTCGTTCATGTAAAGTTCCGCGTGTGACCACAAACGTTATTTTCGAATGTTACACCACTTTATCATAATGCCGTATATTTCGATTCGTGGGTCAAAGTATTTGTGGAACGAATTAATTTATAATAACAAAGTTATCTGGGGTATACTCCGTACGCAAAGCGATGCGTTGCATGGATATTGCATCGCGATGAATAAACGAAAAGGAACGTCAGCTTTTGTCGGAATCGGTGATGTTGATAAAACGATTATATTTATATTATTGTTACGCTTTACCGTTAATAAAACTAAACGGGAAACGGCAATTGTGGCTTCAATCATTCGAGCGCTGACATCTCGCTATTCCCAATTATTACAATGATTAATCAGTGGAAACATTACGGGATCAATGATATAGCTGCATTTATCTCGTTATT